AAGTGGCCTTGTTCATGTTTTTTTGTTTTTCGAGAATGTGATAGTCTCATGCTTGATAAGATGACCTCATTCTCTTGTGACCCAATTTGAGGGACACCTCGTGGTTTTGCATTTACTTTTGAGTCTTTATCTAGTTGTCTTTGTTAAGTTCAGCTGAGCGGACGCACGCGCCCTTCACTAAGGTCAAACCGGTAAGTTCAGTTTCCACAACAACTGTATCTTTTTAGCTAACTCCCTCTGCCTTCTGCATCTTAAAAGGAACCAAGAAGACTGCATGTAGTACAGGCCTTTGCTTTCATCAAGATTATGTGAATTAAACTTGTATTACAGGACAACATTATTTTATATACTGTTACAGTTTTGAATGTATTGGCAAGGACGGTAAAAAATACACAACTGATATTCAACTTATTTTAAACATTGTCTGCACACTGTACTGTTTATACTTGTGATAATGTTCAGGGTGTCCTCACATCCTACGGTGGATTTAGGCCCACGACAGGACCGTCTTTATGTTGAACTGCCTCTGTGGTCTAGTGGTAGAGTGTCCATGAGTGTAACGTGAACCCGTTTTGGAATCATCACCTCGTTGATCATACACAACGGCAACCTGATCACTGTTCAGCTGTATTCATGGGCTTCCACGAACAATATAACTGTGTCATCACGTCAGACATCACTGTTCAGCTGTATTCACGGGCTTCCGTGAACAATATAACTGTGTCATCACGTCAGACATCACTGTTCAGCTGTATTCATGGGCTTCCGTGAACAATATAACTGTGTCATCACGTCAGACATCACTGTTCAGCTGTATTCATGGGCTTCCATGAACAATATAACTGTGTCATCACGTCAGACATCACTGTTCAGCTGTATTCATGGGCTTCCGTGAACAATATAACTGTGTCATCACGTCAGACATCACTGTTCAGCTGTATTCATGGGCTTCCGTGAACAATACAACTGTGTCATCACGTCAGACATCACTGTTCAGCTGTATTCATGGGCTTCCGTGAACAATATAACTGTGTCATCACGTCAGACATCACTGTTCAGCTGTATTCGTTGGCTTCCGTGAACAATATAACTGTGTCATCACGTCAGACATCACTGTTCAGCTGTATTCGTGGGCTTCCGTGAACAATATAACTGTGTCATCACGTCAGACATCACTGTTCAGCTGTATTCATGGGCTTCCGTGAACAATATAACTGTGTCATCACGTCAGACATCACTGTTCAGCTGTATTCATGGGCTTCCGTGAACAATATAACTGTGTCATCACGTCAGACATCACTGTTCAGCTGTATTCGTGGGCTTCCATGAACAATATAACTGTGTCATAGAGCCAGACATCACTGCTCAGCTGTATTCATGGGCTTCCGTGAACAATATAACTGTGTCATCACGTCAGACATCACTGTTCAGCTGTATTCACGGGCTTCCATGAACAATATAACTGTGTCATCACGTCAGACATCACTGTTCAGCTGTATTCATGGGCTTCCGTGAACAATATAACTGTGTCATCACGTCAGACATCACTGTTCAGCTGTATTCGTGGGCTTCCATGAACAATATAACTGTGTCATAGAGCCAGACATCACTGCTCAGCTGTATTCATGGGCTTCCGTGAACAATATAACTGTGTCATCACGTCAGACATCACTGTTCAGCTGTATTCACGGGCTTCCATGAACAATATAACTGTGTCATCACGTCAGACATCATTGTTCAGCTGTATGCATGGGCTTCCATGAACAATATAACTGTGTCATCACGTCAGACATCACTGCTCAGCTGTATTCATGGGCTTCCGTGAACAATATAACTGTGTCATCACGTCAGACATCACTGTTCAGCTGTATTCACGGGCTTCCATGAACAATATAACTGTGTCATCACGTCAGACATCATTGTTCAGCTGTATGCATGGGCTTCCATGAACAATATAACTGTGTCATCACGTCAGACATCACTGTTCAGCTGTATTCGTGGGCTTTCGTGAACAATATAACTGTGTCATCACGTCAGACATCACTGTTCAGCTGTATTCGTGGGCTTTCGTGAACAATATAACTGTGTCATCACGTCAGACATCACTGTTCAGCTGTATTCATGGGCTTCTGTGAACAATACAACTGTGTCATCACGTCAGACATCACTGTTCAGCTGTATTCATGGGCTTCCGTGAACAATATAACTGTGTCATCACGTCAGACATCACTGTTCAGCTGTATTCATGGGCTTCCGTGAACAATACAACTGTGTCATCACGTCAGACATCACTGTTCAGCTGTATTCATGGGCTTCCGTGAACAATATAACTGTGTCATCACGTCAGACATCACTGTTCAGCTGTATTCGTGGGCTTTCGTGAACAATATAACTGTGTCATCACGTCAGACATCACTGTTCAGCTGTATTCGTGGGCTTCCATGAACAATATAACTGTGTCATCACGTCAGACATCATTCTTCAGCTGTATTCATGGGCTTCCGTGAACAATATAACTGTGTCATCACGTCAAACATCACCAGTTGTATTCGTGGGCTTCTGTGAACAATATAACTGTGTCATCACGTCAGACATCATTCTTCAGCTGTATTCGTGGGCTTCCATGTACAATATAACTGTGTCATCACGTCAGACATCACCAGTTGTATTCATGGGCTTCAATGAACAATACAACTGTGTCATCACGTCAGACATCACTGTTCAGCTGTATTCGTGGGCTTTCGTGAACAATATAACTGTGTCATCACGTCAGACATCACTGTTCAGCTGTATTCATGGGCTTCCATGAACAATATAACTGTGTCATCACGTCAGACATCACTGTTCAGCTGTATGCATGGGCTTCCATGTACAATATAACTGTGTCATCACGTCAAACATCTCCAATTGTATTCATGGGCTTCCGTGAACAATACAACTGTGTCATCACGTCAGACATCACTGTTCAGCTGTATTCGTGGGCTTCCACGAACAACTTAAAGTGCAATCCTCATGAGTATATACAACTTGGCAGACTTGGCTAGATCGTAGCATTGTTAATGCAAATATCGTATTCAAAACATCGAAAGCGGCGCGTAAATAAGGTTTATTTGCACTTTTGTCCTATCAATTTCAAAGCGAAGCATGCTAATTCTGAAAATGCGTTTATTGTTCTCATTTCGGTACTTTCATGTATTTTGTTGTGAGACCTTTCTGTGTTTAAAATATTCGTTGATCTGTGTTTAAAATGATGAAGCATCGAGCGTACTTACGTCGCGGTGTCCAGCGCACAACTTGCTCATGTGTTCGAGTCTGACAGTGATAATGGGTTTCGAGTGGTCATGGAATGTGAATGTATCGCGGAAGATGAATTGGTGATTTCTGAAGAAGTACAAGTGAACGCCTCCCCGTGACCGAAAAAATTGACGGAAATAATCAGGATTGTCTCCATCTTGGACGCATGGATTACAAGTGATAGCAAAACTCAGACTCGACCGTTTGTTTAGTATATTTCCTCCAAATCACAATATCCCGCTGTATGAAGCGACATGTTATAGACTCTGTGTATCCGTGCCACTTGCTTATATGTTTCTCTACACTATACACATGACTGGGTGTTTTATGATAGCTGGACTGACTGCTGGCATACATTTTGAAATAATCTACTGCAGTTACATGTTGTTGTGAGACTGAAGGTCAGACAAATATAGTTCTCGTTAAATCAAGGTTACTTGACAAGCCGACCCGTGAAGATTCCGGGGTAGAATAGGTCTACAGCAACCCATACTTGCCGTAAAAGGTGACTATGCTTGTCGTAAAAGGCGACTAACGGGATCGGGTGGTCAGGCTCGCTGACTTGATTGATACATATCATCGATCCCAATTGCTCGGATCGATGCTCATGATGTCAATCACTGGATTGTCTGGTCCAGACTCGATTATTTTACAGACCGCCGTCATATAGCAGGAATATTGCTGAGTGCGGCGTTAAACAACAAATAAACAAACAAACAAAACTTGACAAGCCCCCACTCGCCATACTCGTAACATACATGGAATCCATACCAGTATTATACAACAGCTAAGGAAACGTGCCACGCTGGTAGTAATTTCCTATCAGCTTGCTGGCCTAGCTAGCTGTGCTAATTAAGCCACGCCTTTTTTAACGCGACACTGGAGACATGTGCCCTTCATCTGGGTATTGGTAGAGTAAGTACACTGGAGACAGGTGCCCTTTATCCAAGTATTGGCAGGCCACAAGGAACTGGAGACAGGTGCCCTTTATCCAGGTATTGGCAGGCCACAAGGTACTGGAGACAGGTGCCCTTTATCCAGGTATTGGCAGGCCACAAGGAACTGGAGACAGGTGCCCTTTATCCAGGTATTGGCAGGCCACAAGGTACTGGAGTCAGGTGCCCTTTATCCAGGTATTGGCAGGCCACAAGGTACTGGAGACCGGTGCCCTTTATCCAGGTATTGGCAGGCCACAAGGTACTGGAGACAGGTGCCCTTTATCCAGGTATTGGCAGGCCACAAGGTACTGCAGACAGGTGTCTTTTATCCAGGTATTGGCAGGCCACAAGGTACTGGAGACAGGTGCCCTTTATCCAGGTATTGGCAGGCCACAAGGTACTGGAGTCAGGTGCCCTTTATGCAGGTATTGGCAGGCCACAAGGTACTGGATACAGGTGTCTTTTATCCAGGTATTGGCAGGCCACAAGGTACTGGAGACAGGTGCCCTTTATCCAGGTATTGGCAGGCCACAAGGTACTGGAGACAGGTGCCCTTTATCCGGGTATTGGCAGGCCACAAGGTACTGGAGACAGGTGTCTTTTATCCAGGTATTGGCAGGCCACAAGGTACTGGAGTCAGGTGCCCTTTATCCAGGTATTGGCAGGCCACAAGGTACTGGAGTCAGGTGCCCTTTATCCATCGGCAGGCCACAAGGTACTGGAGACCGGTGCCCTTTATCCAGGTATTGACAAGCCACAAGGTACTGGATACAGGTGTCCTTTATGCAGGTATTGGCAGGCCACAAGGTACTGGAGACCGGTGCCCTTTATCCAGGTATTGGCAGGCCACAAGGTACTGGAGACAGGTGCCCTTTATCCAGGTATTGGCAGGCCACAAGGTACTGGAGACAGGTGCCCTTTATCCAGGTATTGGCAGGCCACAAGGTACTGGAGACAGGTGTCTTTTATCCAGGGATTGGCAGGCCACAAGGTACTGGAGACAGGTGCCCTTTATCCAGGTATTGGCAGGCCACAAGGTACTGGAGACAGGTGCCCTTTATCCAGGTATTGGCAGGCCACAAGGTACTGGAGACAGGTGTCTTTTATCCAGGTATTGGCAGGCCACAAGGTACTGGAGACAGGTGCCCTTTATCCAGGTATTGGCAGGCCACAAGGTACTGGAGTCAGGTGCCCTTTATCCAGGTATTGGCAGGCCACAAGGTACTGGAGTCAGGTGCCCTTTATCCAGGTATTGGCAGGCTACAAGGTACTGGAGACAGGTGCCCTTTATCCAGGTATTGGCAGGCCACAAGGTACTGGATACAGGCGTCCTTTATCCAGGTATTGGCAGGCCACAAGGTACTGGAGACAGGTGCCTTTATGCAGGTATTGGCAGGCCACAAGGTACTGGAGACCGGTGCCCTTTATCCAGGTATTGGCAGGCCACAAGGTACTGGAGACAGGTGCCCTTTATCCAGGTATTGGCAGGCCACAAGGTACTGGAGACAGGTGCCCTTTATCCAGGTATTGGTGGGATACGCGACACTGAAGACAGGTGCCTTTTATCTGGGCATCGGTAGGCCATACGGTAGTGAGGACAACTGTCCTTTATCCGGGTATTGGCAGGTCACACAGAACTCAAGACAGATGTCCTTTATCCTTGAAATATATGTTGAGATTTGAGACAGTTTATCAAGAGTACGTTCATGTAGAGTATACATGGTAAAATTAGTGATAGTAAAATCAGGTCGTAGGTGACACACCATAAATAAAATGGTACTTCAGCAGACGTGTTGTAGAAGCCAACACGGACTATAAACGAACCTTTTTCATGTTGACATGATTTTGTGCTTAATTCCCCTTTTATGTTTTATTTTTTTCTAAATCATGACAGAGACAAAGAACATTTGTCCTGCCAAAGATATATACAAATGTGACCTTTGCTCTTAGAGGGACCCAGGAAGTTACGGGGTAGAATAGGTCTTCAGCAACCCATGCTTGCCGTAAAAGGCGACTGTGCTTGTCGTAAAAAGGCGACTAACGGGATCGGGTGGTCAGGCTCGCGGACATGGTTGATGCATGCCATCGTATCCCAATTGCTAGGATCGATGCTCATGATGTCAATCACTGGATTGTCTGGTCCAGATTCGATTATTTACAGACCGGCGTCATAAGGCTGGAATATTGCTGAGTGTGGCGTTAAACAACAAATAAACAACAAACAAACCAATCTTAGAATACTTGTTATGTTCATGACAATACACTATGTTCCAGCCAATCATGGACACTCAGAAATACCGGGATGCTAGTCTGAAGGCAGTCAACTGCCTTATTTCCCAGATGGACGAGAACGCTCTCTATCAACAAGAAGAACTTAAAGGGGAGTTCTCTGCCCTTTACAAACTACCAACACAACTCCTCTTGTGGGGCAAGCAAGAAATCGCCAACAAGATCTTTGACCACGTGAAGAAGAACGTCCTCCAACCTAACGGTGACTTCTACTCCTACCCCAAGAAGAAGGGATGGGAAAGGAAATGCTGCAACCCCCTCCTTGCATACAACTGGCCCTATATCAACGGGTGGATCGCGGTGGCTGCTCAGAGGGGTGGCAGGTTCGACATCTCCGTCCCAGCCTTCAACTACATCAGGACCTTCTATGACCCTGTACAGAAGGGCTTCCTTTGGAATCAGCCCTATAACCCGGACGTGGACACACTAGAACAGAGCCTCTGTGCTTTCATGTGTGGGCATCTTGGATACACGGCACTCTTCTGTGGAGGTTGGTTCTCTGACGTGTTTGGGCGGTCGTGTAGCCTAGCGTTAAAACGTTCGCTCGTCACGCCGAAGACCCGGGTGCGATTCCCGACATGGGTACAATGTGTGAGGCCCATTTCTGGTGCCCTCCGCCGTGATATTGATGGAATATTGCTAAAAGCGGCGTAAAACAATACTTTTCCACTCACTCTATGACGTGTTTAAAAAGGGACGTCATTAGTCGGGCCCGGAGATCGTTATATCCGAGAATATACGTATACATTACCTGTTCTTATTTATCATTACGTTATTTTAGATATAAACATTTCTCTCTCTTTCTTTTTGATGTCAATTCAAAATATAGCAAAATTCATGTCTATTTCAAATCCTGGGTATTCTTATTGTCATGAGAGAATGCAAGGTTGATTACAAATAACACTCATTTATCAGTTTATAGTTTACATGTATTATTATTGGATTATATTGGCGAGAAGCTACACTGATTAATGTCCTTGTTTGAAGTGTTATTAGTAAGTAATTGTAACCATGCCTTGTGATACCTTACTATGGCTTCATCTTTTCTAAACGTAAACCCATAATCATTTTCTTTGGAAATATTACAAAATTACAACAATCCGTTTTGAAATATCCCCATTTTGAACATTCTGGTGGTATTCGATATCAATAAGCTTCAATGATATGAATTCAAAACGCCAGAGAATAACCAGCCTTGAATATCTACCGAAACAATTTCCATGGGGCGTTAAAGGTTGAGATGCAAAATAAAAGAAAGGAACTCTGGAAAATAGTGATACGCCAGGTGATCGCGAAAGGTCTAAGCACGTCCAGCTCTACCAGTAGCATCCATTACAACGTAAGTGTCAGTGAGTAAGGAGGCACTTTGAACCATGACTTTGATGGTGAAACCATGACTCCAACGCTAATTCCATTCTGTCCAACATTCTATTCCTTGCCTTATTCCCGCTAGATATGGAGGTAGCCTGCAGCACTGGCGACACTCTGATCCGATTCATGGACATCCAACCTAACCTGGACGAGGAGTTCCTGATGAAGATGGACAGCAGTGGTCAACTAATCAGATCCGGTTGGCCCGAAGACAAGACTGTCTTCTTCCGGATCAAGCGGAAGGAGTCACCTAATCTCTTCTATCAGCTGGGGTTTCCTGCAATCTTGCTGGCTAAACTCTATCTTGCCACCGGTAAGTCCAGCTAGGGTTTCCTGTAATCTTGCTGGCTAAACTCTATCTTGCCACCGGTAAGTCCAGCTAGGGTTTCCTGCAATCTTGCTGGCTAAACTCTACCTTGCCACCGGTAAGTACAGCTAGGGTTTCCTGTAATCTTGCTGGCTAAACGCTACCTGTCTACCGGAAATTACAGCTATGATTTCCTGCAATTGTGCTCGATACGTTCTACCCTGCCACCGGTAAGTACAGCCTGGGTTTCCTGCAATCTTGCTGGCTCAACTCTACCTTGCCACCGGTAAGTCCAGCTAGGGTTTCCTGTAATCTTGCTAGCTAAACGCTACCTGTCTACCGGAAATTACAGCTATGATTTCCTGCAATTGTGCTCGATACGTTCTACCCTGCCACCGGTAAGTCCAGCTAGGGTTTCCTGCAATCTTGCTGGCTCAACTCTACCTTGCCACCGGTAAGTCCAGCTAGGGTTTCCTGTAATCTTGCTAGCTAAACGCTACCTGTCTACCGGAAATTACAGCTATGATTTCCTGCAATTGTGCTCGATACGTTCTACCCTGCCACCGGTAAGTACAGCCTGGGTTTCCTGCAATCTTGCTGGCTCAACTCTACCTTGCCACCGGTAAGTCCAGCTAGGGTTTCCTGTAATCTTGCTAGCTAAACGCTACCTGTCTACCGGAAATTACAGCTATGATTTCCTGCAATTGTGCTCGATACGTTCTACCCTGCCACCGGTAAGTCCAGCTAGGGTTTCCTGCAATCTTGCTGGCTCAACTCTATCTTGCCACCGGTAAGTACAGCTGGGGTTTCCTGTAATCTTGCTAGCTAAACGCTACCTGTCTACCGGAAATTACAGCTATGATTTCCTGCAATTGTGCTCGATACGTTCTACCCTGCCACCGGTAAGTCCAGCTAGGGTTTCCTGCAATCTTGCTGGCTCAACTCTACCTTGCCACCGGTAAGTCCAGCTAGGGTTTCCTGTAATCTTGCTAGCTAAACGCTACCTGTCTACCGGAAATTACAGCTATGATTTCCTGCAATTGTGCTCGATACGTTCTACCCTGCCACCGGTAAGTACAGCCTGGGTTTCCTGCAATCTTGCTGGCTCAACTCTACCTTGCCACCGGTAAGTCCAGCTAGGGTTTCCTGTAATCTTGCTAGCTAAACGCTACCTGTCTACCGGAAATTACAGCTATGATTTCCTGCAATTGTGCTCGATACGTTCTACCCTGCCACCGGTAAGTCCAGCTAGGGTTTCCTGCAATCTTGCTGGCTCAACTCTACCTTGCCACCGGTAAGTCCAGCTAGGGTTTCCTGTAATCTTGCTAGCTAAACGCTACCTGTCTACCGGAAATTACAGCTATGATTTCCTGCAATTGTGCTGGATACGTTCTACCCTGCCACCGGTAAGTCCAGCTAGGGTTTCCTGCAATCTTGCTGGCTAAACTCTATCTTGCCACCGGTAAGTACAGCCTGGGTTTCCTGCAATCTTGCTGGCTAACTCAAGTTCGTATTTCCAATATGTTATGTATCGAACGTAATGAAATATGAACTCGCAAAACACAGAAATATAGTTATTTGGTTATGTTTATAGAGTAATATCTTCAAAATAAAAGTTATGTAAGTAAGGAAAAAATGTGTTATTAGACCAGAGAAAGACGCATCATACAAATTGCAGCGTTCTGGCGTCGTGTTGGTCGACTCGTATGATGCGGGATAAATATAATCGCGCGATAGGGAAATCATTACGAAAATTATGAACCTTCGAAAAATAACGGTGAAAATTCGCTATAATTAATCCTTGGTGGGGTGCTCTCTTGAAAGAACATACCAACTGTGCGAAGGATATATAACATGATCGGTCCTCTTTGTTTATATTTTGTTTCTGAGTGGAATTGCTTCATGAAGAAACTTTAATGAAGATATTAATCTAACTGAACTCATCTCACTGCAGGTACAAAGCGTTACCTGGAAGGAGCCAGAAGCTATCTTGACTTCGCCTACTCGTGTGGAGAGTCGCTCTACACCTTTATCAAAAGTCACAAAGTTGCATACGGAGCATCACTCGTGGCCGCCATCACCAAGGAAAAGAAGTATGCCACCATGGCTACAAGGATATCTGACTTTATCATGTCTACGAGAACAGAGAGCGGCATGTTTCTGTCCACCTCCCCGATACTGGAGCGCTTCGACCAGACTGCCGAGAACATTGGCTGGATGAGAGAGATATCCGTCGAGCTGGAATCCTATCAAAGATCTTAAAATTACATTTCTCAGTTTTTAATATTACATTTCTCAGGTGTTTATGGTGTATTGTCCTCAACAATTAATCCTAGCGATGTTTATAACAGTTCACCATATCTTTAATATGCATTCACTTGGTGAAGGCGCAAGAAGTCGCTCTGAAACGTCGTGACAAAGAATAAAAGAAGTTGCTATCTATAAAAAAAGGTGTCATGTATTCAAGTTCACCAACAGTTCGCTGTTCACTTGATGACGTCAAATCCATTAGCATGAGGTTTGGAATTGGCTCAAAGTCGTTAAAGGTGAATGTATGCCTCATAGGACTTCTTTTTATCAGAATTTGGCATCCATATCATTGTGAAACAATCTCTGCAACTTGTCAAAATGGTATGACTATTCCTGAAACATTTACACTTGATTATTTATTTTCAAAATTGTGCTCAGCCATTGGTAAAACTGAATAAATGTTTCATTCTTGTAGACATTATTGCGTCGGGATCGTATCGTATGGTTGACATGCACTGACCCTGTCTGGCTGGACCATATTGTAGGCCTGACATGGGCTTTCCCTGTGTGGCTAGACCATATTGTAGGCCTGACGTGGGCTTTCCCTGTTTTGGGAGGATCATAATGTAGGTCTGACATGGGCTTTCCCTGTTTGGGGAGGACCATATTGTAGGCCTGACATGGGTTTTCCCTGTTCGGGGAGGATCATAATGTAGGTCTGACATGGGCTTTCCCTGTTTGGGGAGGACCATATTGTAGGCCTGACATGGGTTTCCCTGTTTGGGGAGGATCATATTGTAGGTCTGACATGGGCTTTCCCTGTTTGGGGAGGACCATATTGTAGGCCTGACATGGGTTTTCCCTGTTCGGGGAGGATCATATTGTAGGCCTGACATGGGCTTTCCCTGTTTGGGGAGGACCATATTGTAGGCCTGACATGAGTTTTCCCTGTTTGGGGAGGACCATATTGTAGGCCTGACATGGGTTTCCGTGTTCGGGGAGGATCATAATGTAGGTCTGACATGGGCTTTCCCTGTTTGGGGAGGATCATATTGTAGACCTGACGTGGGCTTTCCCTGTTTGGGGAGGATCATATTGTAGACCTGACATGGGCTTTCCCTGTTTGGAGAGGATCATATTATAGGCCTGACATAGGTTTTCCCTGTTTGGGGAGGATCATATTGTATGCCTGACATGGGCTTTCCCTGTTTGGGGAGGATCATATTGTATGCCTGACATGGGCTTTCCCTGTTTGGGGAGGATCATATTGTATGCCTGACATGGGCTTTCCCTGTTTGGGGAGGACCATATTGTAGGCCTGACATGGGCTTTCTCTGTTTGGGGAGGATCATATTGTAGGCCTGACATGGGCTTTCTCTGTTTGGGGAGGACCATATTGTAGGTCTGACATGGGCTTTCCCTGTTTGGGGAGGACCATATTGTAGGCCTGACGTGGGCTTTCCCTGTTTGGGGAGGATAATATTGTAGGCCTGACATGGGCTTTCCCTGTTTGGGGAGGACCATATTGTAGGCCTGACGCGGGTTTTCCCTGTTTGGGGAGGACCATATTGTAGGCCTGACATGGGTTTTTCCTGTTTGGGGAGGATCAAAATGTAGGTCTGACATGCACTTACCCTTGTCTGACTGGACTATATAGTAGGCATGGTGTGTAATGTTTTTGTCAGGGCTGGGTCATGCATCACCCTTCAACCGGCGAGTCACATCTGACATTGTATTTTTATATTTACGAATCTTCATTGTTTGTTGTCTTGTATCATATATACAGTAAACTACGGTTATAACGAACTCAAAGGGACCACTAATTTTAATTCGTTATAAGTGTAGTTTGTTATAAAAATATATACGGCATAAACTGGTTGACACGTAAAGTGACGCAGGCGAAGGAGAACTGGAGAACACATTCAACTAGACTATTCCTTCACAGATGTTGGAGTACCTCAAGGATCTCCACCTTGACCCCGACTTTTGTGAAGGGTTCGTGAGACATCTCAGCTCAGAATGAATCACTGTAGACTTTGTCACGAACGCCACTTTTGTTCTTTTATTCAGTGAATTGAATCTTATCTATCTACGTGCAGGTATACACACCATGGCTCAAAACCCAATTATCTTCGCCCCAAAAATGTTTCTAGGTTTGTAAGCACCATACCCGTGCTCGTGGGTTTCACCAAAGTGGTAAATGTTTGAGACCATTATCACTTCGGGCTTTCCTCACACATTAAGCTGACACGTCGTGATTTAACTGGAATACTGTTAAAAGCGGCGTTAAACCCAACTCACTCACTCACTCAAAACCAAAACGTTTATTTGTTGTTTGTCATCTCGCGGTGATAGTGTATTGTTAGGAAAGTACTATCTTCAGTATCAACTAGACTTCCACCAGTACTCGTCAACCGGGAATGTGGATTATCGTGAACATTTAAAGGAGGTTGTATGGTCAGACATTTCACAGTCCAAGGAAGTTGGACTCCAAACGTCAGCCAAACTCCATTTCGTTTGTGTGCAAAACCAATTTGAATTTTACATGTACCATACTTATTACGACTGCATGACCCAGACCGGAAAGGACCCCGAGACAAGGGGGCCATAGTCCTCCTTCAATACACGTAACTACCTTCTGTTACCAAAAGGAAATCACTGAGCAGAGTTGCGTTCCCTCGTCATGCCAGAAACCCATCATTTCAGGTTTCTATCCCGGTTCGCCCTGATTATATTTGTTTGTCTGCACTACAACAGTGTGCATGGGTTCCCCCAATATGTAGAAGACACTACTTCGGACCTTCCTCCAACATCAAGCTGGCACGCCATGATATAACGGTAATACTGTTCAAAGCAAAGATAAACCCAATTCACTCATCAATATTCAGAGTATGTTTGCCACACTAGTTACGGACTTGGCAAAATATCCAGGTTCAAATCGGCCTGATGCTGATGATGCCAATCACTGGATTGTCTGGTCCCAACTCGATTATTTACAGGCCGCGTCATATAGCTAGACTATTGCTGAGTGTGGCGTTAAACAACAAACAATTAAATTGTTTGTAGTAAATAAACTCCCTGATCGACTTTGACATAATGTCCAATATTTTTAAGCAATCAAGTCAATGTAGATCAAGGTGAAAGTAAGTTTTTTTAGCAGTGTCATGCAGAGATAACGCGTTATCTATCAATGGGTAGACCAAGGTTACTCACAGCCGATAAACATGGCACAGTACAGACAGGGCCAACGCTAGACTGGCTTCAGTCGTCTATTCAAAATATTTTTAATTTTTTTATTCTGGTAACTGTACTGGGTCGTCATTAATTTATGATATGGAAATATGTCTTATTTAGTAGAACTCGTTTGTTTTTATTAATTCTTAAAGTAACACGGATGTTTCACAATACATCCTTATGACACAATAACCTGACAGGTCGAGGGCGCCACTGTGCACCTGTGTTATTATGCGTTGCAAGAGACCGCCGTTTTCAAAGCGTTGTTGCAGTCAAAGCGCTCGGTTCAAACTTATAATTAAGAGGTATCCATTCTAAAGCGCTCGGTTCAAAATTATAATAAAGAGGTATCTATTCTACAGTGGGGCTACATCAAATTTTAAAACACAGTAGGTTTATCTCCTAATTGAAAGTTGCATTATTCAATTTCAGAATAAATATACAGTAGACTACGGTTATAACGAAACTCGAGGGGACAACTAACTTTAATTTGTAATAACCGTAGTTCGTTATAAGCATACATACAGCATATATACAACAAATGGTCAGGACTCAAAATAAGTTCGTTATATCCGTCAGTTCGTTTTAAGCGTGTTTGTTATTGTTTGTTGACTTTTGTTATATATACAGTAAAATACGGTTATAACGAACTCAAAGGGACCACTAATTATAATTCGTTATAACTGTAGTTTGTTATAAACATATATACGGCATACATACAGCACCTGGACAGGACCAAGAAATAGTTCGTTATATCCGTCATTTCGTTATAAGCGTGTTTGTTATAAACGTAGTTTGCTTATAGTTATTGACCTTATTATGAAGCATGGTTACTTTATTCCGTTTGTATACATCATAAACCACACTAACTGGTAATGTCAAATAACTGGGCCACACGCAAGGAAAGTAGACACGCAACCAGACAATTGTGTTCGCCCACCTTTCAGTTCAGATAACGATATTTTCACTCATGCGAATGTTCATGTTCTAGCCTCGTGTCTTGCATAAACAGAGATATTAACACAGATACCCATATATCATTCTGACCTTTAATGCGGCAGCTACTTGGATAAGGACAACTTACAGGAGGAACGCATACCAGATGATCAAGGTATGGCACGGTGTGGCCTACTGTACTGTTAATTACTTCATTATATTGCAAGTAAACGTGTATAATGTTGGGGGTTGTTGTTGGAACAAAGCCAGACTCGACCAAGGTACACTTGCGCAAAGCAATCGTAGCTCTAACTCCCAAACATAGAATTACGATAGCCGTAGCGCTAAGATGGTTTTGTGCAAGTGGGCCCTAGTCTTAGACGAGTTTTAGCACAGATGTCGTGTTGACAAACCAAGCATGATAATCGGGGAAGTTGGGATTCGAACACGATCATTGGATCCTGGCACGACTAAGGGACGCAACTCTGCACTATGGCGCATTAAACGAATTGGAAACATGCTACTGGAAAACGGGTAACCAACTTTCTGTCTCCAGCCTCTCAAGTGCAACTAACGAAGCGATAGTTAGATGGTTGGGCCACCCGTGCCCTGTAAGTCAATAAATATTATTGTACAGAGAGAGTATATAGTTTCGTAAAATACATATCCTAGCAAATATGTGAAGCGAGGATTTATTGGGCACATGTAAGGTCATATACAGGACAGCATCACATTATCAATCACATGATAATGTGTCAATCAAGTATACACACGAACTGATGAAAAAGATTGTCATAACATGACATTATATTAAAAACAAGAGCGTAAATTGAATGCTGAAAATACGCATTTGGGTTATGTTCCTACATGTTCTCAATTCTTTTTTACCCTTTCTGAGAAAGAAATTGAAAATAACAACATGTCAACACAACTGTTCAACGTAAAACTTCTTATCCTGCTCAAACGCGTCGAACACAACACAACTGTTCAACGTAAACCTTCTAATCCTGTTCAAACGCGTCGAACACAA